GGGAGAAAAAAGGCGGTAAAAAATTGCACTCCCTTCCGCCAAAATTGGGCTCATTTTTCAAGGCAAAAAAACTTCTTCACTCCAGTTCTTCTCATCTGAAGGCAATTGTCGATTTTTTCTTCTGCAAAACTGAATTTTCCGATGGTGATATGAGAAGATCTAGACGCAGCACCTGAGTTTTGTAATCATGAACATGAACATGTTCATTTTGATCTGGAGAATGAACATGTTCATTTTGGAGATGGAAGTGTAGTTGGGTCTTCCAATCTGGAAAAAAGTGTAGTTGGGTCTTACAATCTGGAAACAATTTCTTTATTTGAGGATGAACATGTTCATTTTAATGAAACCGCTGTAATATCAATTGATGAAGACGATGAACATGTTGATTTTGGAGATGGAAGTGTAGTTGGGTCTTCCAATCTGGAAAAAAGTGTAGTTGGGTCTTGCAATCCGGAAACAATTTCATTATTTGAGGATGAACATGTTCATTTTAATGAAACCGCTGTAATATCGATTGATGAGGACGATTAACATGTTGATTGTAATTAAACCCCGGTAATATCCATTGATGAAGCCAATAATTCTGTGGTTGAAACGGGTGAAGGCGCAGGTAATTCAGAAAACATGTTAATTCTACAATCACATATGTTCATTTCATAATGCAAGATACTCATATAAACATGTTCATTTTTGTATATAAACATGTTCATTTCATTTTGTAGAAAAAGTTCATTTTGGTTTTTAACATGTTCATTTCATTTTGTTTTTACATATGTTCATTTTCTATATACGTATGTTCATTTAGTTATTGAACATGTTCATATATTAAATAGGTGTTTATTCTCTGTTTTGGAAAAGCTCGATATAGAATGTATACATGTTCATTTATTAACTCAACATATTCATTTCCTAACGGAACATGTTCATATTTTTGTAGAGATCGATGATGAAATTGCTTGGGATGAAATTTAATTCCTTGGAAGATGCTTATGAATTCTACAATTCATATGCGAAGAGACATGGTTTTGGAGTTAGAAAATTCAAGTCAAGAAAGAAGAAAGATGATATTGTATATCGCAAACAATTTTGTTGCAAGCAAGGGTTTAAAAGCAAAGTGGGCAAAGAGAGGAGTTATACAAAATTGGAAACGCGGGTTGGTTGCAAGGCAATGATTCAGCTTCTTTTTGATGGTGCTAATTGGATAGTGGAGCAAGAAGAGGATCAACACAACCATGAGTTAGTTCCATGCAATCAAGCCCGCTATTTTCGCTCTCACAGGGATATGCCTTCGAATGATGTAGCATATTTGTCACAATTAAAAGCTAGTGGAGTTGGTGTTACCGCTGGTTATAGAGTTCTTTCGGATCAAGCTCTTGGTGTTCAAAATATGCCATATACAATAATTGATGCCCGTAACCACGTTGCAAAGCTTGAACGGAGAATTTGGGAAAGTGGTGATGCAAATGGCCTACTTAATATATTGAAAGAAAGACAGGCCCGGGAAGATGGATTTTATTTTAATTATGATCTGAATAAGGAAACAGCATCATTGTGTTCCATTTTTTGGAGGGATTCTCGCATGAGGAAGGATTATGAGGTGTTTGGTGGTTTAGTTGTATTTGATACTACTCATAGGACAGTTAAGTACAATCTTGCATGTGCTCCATTTACAGGGATGAACCATCACAAGAGAAACATTATGTTTGGTGTCGGTTTTTTGCTTCATGAGGACAAGGATTCATTTCAGTGGTTGTTGGATGAATTTCTGAAGTCAATGGGTGGGAAGCAGCCTGCCACAATAATGACCGATGAAGATGCAGCCATGGCAGCTGCAATTCCATTGGTGTTAACGCAATCCCGACATCGCTTATGCACCTGGCATATTGACGAGAATTCAAAAAAGCACATTCAGTACCTTCGGATAATGCCCGGTTTCATCAATCTTTTTCATTTGGTTTTGAGATCAACGGACACAATACCGGAATTCGATTTTTATTGGAAAAAGTGAGTTATTCAATTTATATTTGAACATATTCAGTCATCAATTCAACATGTTCATTTAATACTGAACCATGTTCATTTCTCACATATTATTTTTGTAGATAAAATTCATTTCGTACATAAACATGTTCATTTATTTATACAACATATTCATTTATTTATTAAACATGTTCAAATCATAATGAGACGTTGTCATATATTCAACGAACATGTCAAATAGAATGTAGACATTAAACAACTGAACATATTCAGTTAATACTTAAACATATTCATATCATACTGTAACATGTTCATAATTTTATTATTGTAGAAAAAGTTCATTTTGTTTTAAATAAAATGCTCACTTTGTATACAAAAATATTCATTTAGTTATTAAACATGTTTACTTTATATAAACAAATATTCATTTAGTTATTAAACATGTTCATTAGACATGTTCATTGCTTATAAGAACATGTTCAGTATTCAATTACACATATTTATTTCATAATGTAACATTGTTCTTGATACTTCAGGATGTGTGATACATACAATTGCGCTGATGATAAATGGCTGAGGCGGTTGTATTCAAATCGTCACAAATGGTGTCCAGCCTTTAACAAAACTCATTTCTCTGGTGGTATATTATCATCCCAAAGGAGTGAATCAACAAACAACTCAATTTCGGTAAAACTTCCCAAGACTGCTCGATTGTGTGGCTTTTATTCTCATTTTGTCAAAGTTCTTGAGGAGTGGAGAGAGAAGGAGAATAAAGATGACTTTCGGTGCAACAATGGCCGTGTGGAATGTCAATTCCCTGATAATTCACTGCTTCTTAATGTTCGTGAGTTGTACACAATAGAAGCATATATTCATTTTGAGCAACTGTATATAGCTGCAATTTCGTGCAAGATGGAAGTCGTTGGAGCACCACAAAACATTGGAATTGAAAATAATGGGAATTTTGTTTTATGTTATGTTCAAAGGGCAAATGTGGATGTGTTCAAGCACCAAGTAAATTTCAACTTAACTTCTCATGAGGTTCGGTGTTCATGTGATTTATTTTCGGAGGTTGGTTTCCTTTGCTGCCACTGTCTTAGGGTGTACATCGTTTTTAATGTCGAAAGAGTTCCGGATATGTATGTACATCCAAGGTGGCGTCGGAATGCCAATTTGAATTGTCGCTTAGACTTGGAGGGAACCCAATATTCTTCGGGTTACCATGTGCCAGGTACATATTCATTATACAATAGAACATATGCATTTACTATTGAAACATGTTCATGTCTTATTGAAACATGTGCATGATATTAATTATACATTAGAACATGTTCATTTAGCACTGATAACATGTTCATTACTCAATCAAAGATGTTCATTTCAGGTGCATGCCTTTGGAGATCCGACAAAATATGCCAGTTTCTGAAGATTGTTTCATCAAGTGAAATGAATCAAAATGCCAAAGATATTGTTGACGAATGTTTGAGATCCATGTTTGATCGGATAGAGTCTCATTTTTCTTCATTAGCTACAGACGAACCGTCTTGTACCGCGAAATCTTCTGCCGCGAATGTTAATGATCCAGAGAAATTGAGGCCTAGAGGAGAACGAAACATTCGACGGAAAAGTACAGTGGAGAAAATTTCAAGACAATCAAAGGGGAAGCACAAGAAACAAGCTTCATTGAGGAATAGGAACACCATGTTTAACAGGGTCTTTTCTACAAACCCTGAATTTGTTGGACGCTTTGTGCATCCTTTTCCTCCTAACCAAGATTCTCAACATGATCCTAGAGGTTCTGGATACAATTTTCCGGACATGAACATGGCCTCTCAAAATGAATATAACTTTAGTTTTCTATGAACATGTTTTGTTGTCATATGAACATGTGTCTTTTATTAACCTGATGAATATGTTGATTTTGCACATGCTGTATATTGATTTTGTAAGTAATGTGTGTCTTAACCTGATGTAAAATGAATATGTTACGTTATAAAATGAAGTTCTCATCTTATAAGATGAATATGTAGAATTCACTCGAACATACTAGAATTTGACTCGATTATACTAGAATTGACTCGATTATACTAAATTTGGCTCGATTACACTAGAATTGACTCGACTATACAATAATTGACTCGATTATACTAGAATTTGACTCGATTATACTAGAATTTGAATTGATCAAACTAGAATTTGAATCGATTATACTAGAATTGACTCGATCAAACTAGAATTTGAATCAATTATACTAGATTTGACTCGATTATACTAAGTTTGACTAGATTATACTAGAATTCACTCGATCAAACTAGAATTTGAATCATTTATACTAGATTTGACTCGATTATACTAAGTTTGACTCGATTATACTAAGTTTGACTAGTATGATTGATGTTATTGTTTGACTATACAAGAATTTGACTCGATTATTCTAAGTTTGGCTCGATTATACTAGAATTTGAATCGATCATACTAGAATTAGAATCAATTATACTAGATTTGACTCGATTATACTAAGTTTGACTCAATTATACTAAAATCGAATTGATCATATTATAATTTGAATCGATTATACTATAATTTGTATTGATCATACTAGTTTCTAAAATGAACATGTCAATTTATAAGATGAATATGTTACGTTTCAAATGAACATCGTGTCTTATAAAATGAATATGTTACGTTTTAAAATGAACATCTCATCTTATAAGATGAATATGTTACGTTTTAAATATGTTTAATTTGTATAAAGTAATGTGTTTCTTAACATAATGAATATGTTTACTTATAAAAGTAACATATCAACATGATGATTATGTTTATTAGCGCGATGAATAGGACCAAAGCTACCATTACATTAGCACCATAGCAAACTTCCTATTTCAGCATTACAAAAATATTTGACATAAGACACAAAGCTAGGAATTGTAGCATTACAAAAACTTCCTAGTTCAACAAACTTCCTATAAAAGCATTTCAGCATTACAGTAGCACCAAAGCAAACTTCCATTCATTCTCTAGTTCAGCATCAAACTAACATTAGAAAACATTCTATTAAACTTAAACACAGCTAGAAATGCACAAAGCAATAGCAACATAGCAAACTTCCTCTCAAAAATCAATTTCTTGTTCTGCTGGTGATTTTTCCTCTCCAATTCTTCAATTTTCTTGTTCTGGTCATGATTTGTCCTCTCCAATTCTTCCATTTTCTTCTTCAACTGCTGCAACTTGTTTTTCTTATTCTGAAGCTTTTCATTGAGTTGCTTTTCAACAATATCCTTGCTTTTTAATTGTTCCTCCAACAAATTTCTTTGATTCTTCAACTTCAAAAAACAGGCTTTCTGAAATGGTGGTAATTCAGCATCATGCCAAACAAAAAATTTACAATCACGTGCCTGCAATATGTCAATAACAATGTTTAAATTCATACCTCAATTTCAATTTTACAGCACAATAAATTGGAACCCTAATTCCCAATTTCAGTGTTGAAAGTAATTCAAATAATACATAACCAATCTATTTTTTTCAAATAAGGAATTAAATTCTTACAGTATTTCTGTGAGGACATCGATGATACCTCCTAGCCGGATTCGTATCGGTGTTCGAGGTCAAGAAATCTGGTTGGACTCTGTGCAAGCACTGAAGCCCGTCAACTGGAGGGTCCAAATTTGAAGTTGAACCACGACTTCCACTACCACACGATCCAGACGACATCTTCAGAGTAGCTGGATTCTTCCAAAAGAATCAGTACGTGTTCTACAGAGATGAGGAAGGAGAAATAGAAGCTAGGGTTCTTGATTTGGGATTTTCTTAACACTCGAGATGATGGGGATTTTATACACATATACCAGTTTTTTTTTTTTTTTTTTTTTT